TGTGGGGCCCCAGTGGTGTTTTTTTTTTTTTTTTTTTATTGTTAAAACGGCCTGAGCCGCCTGTTGCTGCTGTGTAGTGGTGGTGACAACTCTGAGCCCCAGGCCCAGGGGCAGCTGCCCCCTTTGCTCCCTCTTCCCTCTGTCAGCGGCCCAGGTCTGTCTTGGCCATGACTTCAAGTTGGAAAGGAGCCAGTAACAGACCCGGGCAGCTGTGTTGGTGGCGGAGGCATTTTTGTACAGGTCTAAATCTAGTGTTGCCCTTACTGAGAGATTTCCATTGGGAACCAGCTCATTTAGCATTCTCCTCAGTGAGTGAGTGAGCTAGCCCTCCACTTAGCTCTGAGCAGTTCTGGGAGTCATTCCAGGCAGTCAGTCGAGTCCCTCAGCCTTCCAGGTCTGCCCTTTGCCTGGTACCCATGTGACCGACCCAGGGCCAGAGTCTACTCACTAGACCAGCTCCAATCCAGAGTCCCTTTCAGCCTCAGTGGCATCCCCCCTCCCAATGTCCCACAGACTGAACAAGAGCCGTTTTAAGAAAGGCCTTTGCTAATGGCAAGGAAAATCGTGAGCGGGAGGCTTCTTCGTAGTCGTCTGTTCAAGCTGTGTAGGTTTTAGGGGCTCACATGAAAAGTGAGCATTGGAACCCTGTCCTTTCCCTGCGTAGGGATGGGATTTGATGCCTCTGAAATCTCAAAACACACAGCTGGTGGAACCGAGTGGGTTTACCTAAGCAATACAGAGCTCTCTGACTTGATCCATCATGGAGAGGTATAATGGACTTCAGGAACTTATCCCAAAACTCAGGGCTTGGTTTCTTCACAGAAGTTGGTTCTTCGAGTGCTTTCTCATGTTTATGTATAGGGATGGTGCTTGGTCCTGCTGTGAGGGCAGGGGACTGGACTCAATGACCTCTCAAGGTCCCTTCCAGCTCTATGAGATGGTATAGCTCCATATATTATATTATTTATTCACGTCAGGTGCTTGTGCTCGCCGCGTGCACCAGTGCCTCAAAAAATGAGTATATGATCTTTTGAAAATGGGCTTTATTTTCGATCGATCCCTGTCTAAACAGACATTTTTCTTTTGAAAAGCCCCATTTAGGGGGAAAATGCAGCTGCCATTATTCAAATGAAGCGTGGGAAATTTAAATCCCGGCTTCACTTGCTATTTCGAAGTGTCTAACTTGCATCCCTTTTTTTGAGAAGGGATTGCAGCCCGGGGACAGGGCATGCCCCGGGATTTAAGACCCGTGAGTGTGGCACAGGTTTCTTGCATGTAAGTGACACTCCATTTTCCTCCCCCCATTTTCCTCCCCCCCAACACCCCACCTCCCCCCCACTTGGCCATCACTGTTGGCCATATAGTCTCCCTGGCCTCTCGTCATTCCTTCCCTGGAGCCGTGAGACTGGTATGCCGTCCTCGACTTGAAGGACACTTACTTCTACAGGTGCTTCCTCTGCTACATGGTGAGTCCGGCGCATTACCAGTTTGCAGTGCTGCCATTCAGCCCCCAGCACTGCAGTGGTAGCAGCTTGCCTCAAGTGTCTGGGTACCCCCATCTCAACGAGTGGATGGTGAAGAGCCACTCCAGGTCTCTGGGCATGGATGGAGTCAAGACCCTGAGGGTCGCATGCAAATGGTTAAGCCTGCTGATAAACATGGGGAAATCAGCATTAGCCCCCCATACGCAGGATGCAGTTCATCGGATCAGTCCTAGACTCGGTCAGGGAGGGCGAGGGCTTTCCAGCCACTAGGCAGATTTCAGACACTGAAACGCCTCATCACTGTCCTCTCCACTTACCCCCACAATGGCCAGGTTCTCTCTTATGGTGCTGGGCCAAATGGCAGCATGCACATGTGTTGTCAGCCAGGCAAAACTACACAAGAAGCTGCTCCGGCAGTGGCTGGCGACAGCCCATATCCCATCCAGAGATTGTCTGGACAAGGTGATTACGGTTCCACCTGATGTTTTCAAGACACTACAGTGGTGGACCTGCCTAGGTATGGCCCCGAATGAATAGTTTGACCACCCCCATCTTCCTGTGTCTCTGACATTGGATGCCCCAGACCTTGGATGGGGAGCATGTCTTTGGAAGCTTGGAACTCATAAACCTCAAGGAGCTCAGTGCAGTTTGCAGGGCCAGCACAGTATTCTGGCTGGAGCTGGAAGGTCACATGGTCCAAGTGTTGATGGACAACATGGTCTCCATGTTCTACATCAACAGGCAAGGAGGAGCATGTCCGTCAGGCCTTTTCCTTGAGGTGCTGCCCCTTTGGGAATTCGGAGCACAGCATGTGACTGACCTGGAAACATTTCCCCTCCCCAGCATCAAGAACATGTTGGCGGATCCTCCCTCGCGCAACAAGCTAGGGAGGATGCTAGCTTTGGCAGGGAGGTATGATGAGCAATGCGTCCCTGAACCCAGTGCAGACTGGCTGGGAGTAAAGATGTTAAGGATTAGTCGAATCACCTTGTTGCTCTCCCCCCCCCCCCCTTTGCTGCCTCTGTCAGAAACAGCAGAGGGAGGGAAGAAGGGGTACTTCAAAGCAGCAGTGCCACACAGAGCCCAGGGTATGGGTTCCGTGTGGCTCTGCTGTTTCAAAGGGGCAGTGCCGCACAGCTGATCCCAGGCTCTGTGCAGTGCTGCCCCTTTGAAATGCTACAGTGGCGTTTCCAAGTTTCAGCACTGTGTGGAGCCCGGGGTCAGCTGGGGACTTGGCTGACCGTGGGCTACGCACAGCATTTCCACAGAATCCATCACCCCGGGTTCCGCAGAAATGCTGGGCTGAACCCGGGATCAGCCCAGCTCCACAAGGCATTTCAAAGCAGCTGCACCACATGGAGCCTGGAGTGTACGGGAGGCTCTGATTCCCCTGCTGACCCCAGGCTCCATGTGAGCGTTTCCACTTTGAAATGCACAGGCGCCCCCACTGGGCACTCTTGTACATTTCAAAGCTGGAATTTCCGTCATCTAGTTGATAGGCACTTCTGCATTCCTCCTTTGAAATGCACAGCAGGGGCTCTTGTGCCTTTCAAAGTTGGAACTCTGGGTGCAGCCTGCAGAAGCGGCCACGTGGAGCCCGGAGTCAAATGCAACTTCCCGCTGGCCTGGGCTGCACCCAGAGTTCCAACTTTGAAAGGCACAAGAGCCCCTGCTGCGCATTTCAAAGGAGGAATGCGGAAGTACCTATCAACTAGCTGATGGAAATTCCACCAACTACTTGACCAGTTAAGTTAATCGATATTTAACGTTCTTAGTTGGGAATCGGCCACGTGGAGCCCGGAGTCAAATGCAACTTCCCGCTGGCCTGGGCTGCACCCAGAGTTCCAACTTTGAAAGGCACAAGAGCCCCTGCTGCGCATTTCAAAGGAGGAATGCGGAAGTACCTATCAACTAGCTGATGGAAATTCCACCAACTACTTGACCAGTTAAGTTAATCGATATTTAACGTTCTTAGTTGGGAATCCCCTCACTTGGAATGGACATGAGCAAGCACTCCAAGTTTCATAGCTGATGCTCTTCAAGACGTATTGCTAGTGTCCATTCTGCATCCCGCAGCCCTTCATCGCTGTTGGCGTTTCTGGGAAAAAGGACCTAAGGGGTGCTGTCACTTATTCCATGCCATCAAGGCAGCACTCTAGGAGGGTGCCAGAGCCGTTCCTCTCTGGGTACTGCTGAGGGGGAAAGTCTCATGGCAGCAGTGCACGTGGCGAGCACACACTGAATGTGGCATGGACGTGAGCAGCACATCTTGAACACCAGCTATGAAATGGGTCACTGTCTTCTGCCACCTCCCATGGACTCAGATACAACAGGGATGGTCAGGATTCTAAACCTTAGACTGTAGGATTATCTGTGTCCCAAACTCCTGAATCCAGCAGGATGGCCGGCTGCTAGAATTCCCACCGTCAGTTCTGGGCTTCATCTGGCTACGTAAGCTGCTGCATACATTTTCTTGAACATTTGCATCATCTTGAGGGTTTTTCCTCTGCAGGTCTAACATGGGAGGAATGTAAGAGCCGTTGTCCTCCTGGCGTGGTACCAGCCTGTCACAACTCTGAAGACACCGTCACTGTTTCAGGGCCTCAGGTGAGCAGACTTGTGGAAATCAGTGGGTGTCCCCCATGGCTGGAATGACACAGGGAGACCCAGGAGTGAAAGAAGAGCCAAGTGGTGGGCGGGCACTTGGTTCTTGCATCTGAATTTGAGCACTTAGTGCTGCTCAGTGGGAATCAGAGTTGCTGCTCCTTGTGGACTAGGAACGAACGACCATGTGAGGTGAACTTCAGCGGGGCTGTATCCACAGCGCTGTTGAGTCACCTGGGGGCACAGAGCCTCGAGTGGCTCAGGAGGGGAAAGCTGGGTGTCCAAGCCCCGTGCAGATAACTCTTGCTCGATTCCATCCCATTCCTAGGCCGCGGTGAACGAGTTTGTAGCCAGGCTGAAGAAGGAAGGAGTGTTTGCAAAGGAGGTGCGCAGCGCAGGGGTTGCGTTTCATTCCTATTACATGGCGTCCATTGCACCCGTCCTACTGAGTGCCCTGCAGAAGGTAACGTCGTTCAGGGATTGCATGGGCTGGAGGCTTGTGGGTAAAGGGAGCTGTGACCAGAGCAGGGAGGGGCTCACTGGGAATGAGGGGAGGCTGGCTTGTGATGAGCCTTCTATGGAAGCCGTTGGACTTCCACTAGCAGGAAGACTGAATTCACGAGCCGAGAAAGCAGCTTAGTCAAAGCTCTGGGACTTGGATTTTTAGGGGTTGAGGAGGCTTTTTCTTGGCTTCTTGTGGCCGGTGACTTGGCTTTGGTCTGTTGCAGGTCATTCCAAATGCAAAGCCGCGCTCAGCCCGTTGGATCAGCACCTCCATCCCCGAATCTCAGTGGCAGAGTGAGCTGGCTCAGAATTCCTCAGCCGAGTATCATGTGAACAACCTAGTGAGCCCAGTGCTGTTCCAGGAGGGTCTGAGGCATGTTCCAGACAATGCGGTCGTGGTGGAGATTGCCCCGCATGCCCTCTTACAGGTATTGCACTTGGGGAAGGGCCTAAGACTCAGGGAACGTCTTCATTTTTCCTAGTGCCAAAACCACTCTGCCCAGACAGTTCTAGTCTCCCGGATCTAGCATGAAAAAGCAACATGTCCCAACCTATTCCACCCACACAGCCAAGTCATCCACATACCTGCCTTTGTACAGAGTGTACCCAGCCAGCTGATGCAGTGAATGAGTAGGAGGCACCTGGGGCTGCTTGGATTGTCTAATGCAGTGTGGGAAGTAAGCAGGAGGGCAGAGAGCTGGAAGTATTAATTCCTTGGGCTGTTATCTTGTCAGATCTCCTTGAGCTAAACAGCATCAGGTTGGGCCAGTACTCGAATGGGAGGCTTGCAGTGTTGAAGCAAGACTGGAGATCAGAAAATGTCTTTTTTTCTTCGGCGCACATAATAGCTATTTGGATACCATGGCAATGCAGGCCATGTAAGGATCTAAACAGAGGAATTCTCCCTAGATCTTGAATCCCTTCACACACCCCAGTTTTTGAATCCGCTCGACACTTGTCTGATTGCCCTTAGGCTATTTGTTTTAGAAAGAGTTTAAAAACAAAATGGCCAAGGTAAATCGACTCTGATCCTTCTCGTTTCATTGCTGACTTTCACAGTGGCAAAATAACCTCCCCCCCCACTAAAATACGGTGCAGTCATACAGTATGCGATACCACGCCTATGTTCCTTAAAATAATAGGATGCAGTGCTGTGTCTTCCAGCTACCGTGCACACATTGGCTACTTCTGGTAGCTCCTGAGGGAGGAAGACAAACACTTACTTTGTTGTGAGGGACTGGGAACTGAGACTGTAAGGACCAGGCTCATGCTTTCAAAAGTGCCCACTAATTTTGAGGGCCTGCGACCTCTTGGATCTCCTTTCCTACCCACTCACTTCAGTGGTGCTGTGGGTCCATAGCTCTGACTTCAGCTGATCTTCTGGATCGTGGCAACCTGTGAAAATCTCTAGATGTCAAGCTAGACCCGATGTACCCTCTAAATTTCCCATGCATATGCAGAATGAATGTTATGTGCACCAGTAGGGAGCTGATGTATGTGGGAGGGGCTGAGGCTCAGTCTCTGGGGGGGATCGAGTTCTGGGATGGGGCCTGGGATAAAAGGTTTGGTGTCCAGGCTGCCCCAGGGCTGTGGTGGGGGGAGAGGTCTCGCCTCAGCTCCTGTCGCAGCAGCTCTGTTGCTGGGGTCAGTGGAGAGGAAGCTCTTTCTCTGTTGCAGCGCTGTGTGCCTGGCAGCTCTTGTTAGGCTGCTGCGCAGTGAATTGTCTGTGCTGCAGATTCGGTGCCAATTTGCAGATCTTCTTCCAATCGCTTTTGCAAAAGCATTTTTTTCAAAAAAGAAAGCCGTTTAGACGTGGTTCTGTCAAAAAAAACAACGCTTTTTTGAAAGAACCCTGTACACCTCATTTTTTTGAGAGAAGCGTTCTTTTTAAAAAAAAAAAACCTTTTTTGATTTTTTTTAAAAGAATCGTGTCTAAACTGCTTTCTTTTTTGAAAAAACAATCGGAAGAAGATATGCAAATTTGGCACTAATTTGCATATCTCCTCCTTTTGAAAAAAGAATGTACCCTAAATAGTTTATCTAAATGGCTTATCCCATAGAGCCAGTTTGTGCCTTGTGATTCTCATGCTGCACTTCAAGTAACAACGATACGATGAGTTTGCTGTGTCTGTGTACCCATAAACTTGTGTTTCATTATTCTGAGACCAGCTCTTTCTCCTTACTCCTTGCCAGTAATGCTTTTGGAATCCCTGAGAAATATTTTGCATGAGTGCGAGAAATGTCAGTCTGCATACAGACCAAGAAAAGGCTAGTCACTTTTTCATTAAGAGCACCCAAAGGTATAGCTACAGTTTCACTCTGTAACTCAAAAATGGGCAAAATTCATGTCCGCTTTCTAAAAGTTATTGCCTTGCTGCTCAGCCCAGATCTAGAGAATTTAAACTAACATGAAAACAGTGAAGAACATTTTAAAGCAACGGGTGATTGATAAAGCTCCGGGTGTGAAGGAACTAACAAGTGCTGACTTGTTCACAGACTGTAGAACTTACCAAAGTAATTTTAGAAAAACATACAAAGTTGATTGAAATGTTGCCTATTATGGAGAAGCCCCCATGACCCTTAGTAAATTGTTGCAGTGGTTAATTATTCTCACTGTTAAGTTTTAAGTTTAGGACTAATTCAGTCACTAGGAGTACATCTAGACTACATGCCTCTGCCGACAGAGGCATGTAAAACAGGATACCCGACACAGTCAATGAAGCGGGGATTTAAATATCCTCGGCTTCATTAAAATAAAAATGGCCACTGCGCTGTGCTGGCTCAGCTGATCGTCAGCACAGCGCATGAGTCAAGACGCGGATCAGTCGACAGGGGAAGCCTTTGTCAACTGCTCCTGAAAACCTCATTCCATGAGGCATAAGAGAGCAGTTGACAAAGGCTTCCTCTGTCGACCGATCCGCGTCTTGACTCGTGCACTATGCCAACGATCAGCTGAGCCCATATAGTGCGGCGGCCATTTTTCTTTTAATGTAGCCAGGGATATTTAAATCCCCACTTCATTGACGATGTCGGGTAGCTTATTTTACATGCCTCTGTCGGCAGAGGCATGTAGTCTAAGCATACCCTAGACTGTTATACCTATATCTGCTAGATTGAAGAGTAATCTATGTTCCTCATGTAGGTACTTGCAAATTGTGATTGTCATCCCTTAACTTTCTCTTTGTTCAGCTAAGTAGACTCAAGGAGCACAGTCTAACTATAAGGCATATTTTCTAATCCTTTAATTATTCTGGCTCTTCACTGAACCCTCTCCAGATTATCAACATCCTTCTTGGATTGTGGATACCAGGCCTGGACACCATATTCCAGCAGTACTCACACCCAGGCCAAATACAGTCTCTATTCTTCTCAAGATTCCCTTGTTTACCCATCCGAAGAACACATTCGCTCTTTTGACCCAGCTTTGCACTGGGAAATCTCATTCGCTTGTTTATCCAGCAAGGTCTCCAATCTTTTTCAGAGTCCCTGCTTCCCCAGATAGAATCCCTACCCTGTAAGTGTGGTCTACATTTAGCCATATAAATCACATTGTTTCCTTCTGCCCAGCTTGTCCAGCAATGCAGATTGCTCTTAATCATCATCTCTCCTCTTTATTCTTTATCACCACTCAAATTTTTGTTTCATTTGCAAACTTTATTAGTGGAGGGGGTTTTGTTTTCTTCCAGACCATTGATCAAAAATGGTAAACCATGAAGGGCCAAGAGCCAATCCCTGCAGGAACCCACTTGGTCTCATTTCCTCTCCTACTTGATGGTGATTCCCTGGTGACAACTACATTTTGAGATGTAGCAAGCTTTTAATCCATTAAATATATCCCATGGTTAATTTTATGTCTCCTAGTTTTCTAATCAGTCCTGTGGCATCAAGTCAAATGTCCCTATGCCTAACATGTATTGCATGAGCTCTCTTACTTTTATCAACCAAACCTGTAATCTCCCTTTTAAAAAATCAGGTTTGTCAGTATCCATTTTCCATAAACCCATGTTAATTAATATTAATTGCATTACCCTCCTTTACTACTCCCTTCCCCCCCCCCCCAGCTGCTCCATTATCTGCTTGGGATCAGTGTTCATCTTGTCTTTAATTACCGTCTCATCCCATTTTAAAATATTGGCGCAGCATTCTCGTTCTTCTGGAACTTCCACAGTCTGCCAAAGCTTAGTGAAAAATCAACATTCAACAGTCCAGTGAGCTCTCTGAGCAGCTCTTGTAAAACTCTCCGGTGCCAGTTCTCTGGACCTGCTGATTGAAAAATGTTTAACTTCAATAGCTGCTGTTGCGCCTCTTCATGAGGGGTATAGATCTTGACTTGAGGAATGCTTTTGATACGGTCTCCCCCAGTATTCTTGCCAGCAAGTTAAGGAAGTAGGGATTGGATAAATGGACTGTAAGGTGGATAGAAAGTTGGCTAGATTGTCAGGGCCAAAGCGTAGTGATCAATGGTTTGATGTCTGGTTGGCGGTCAGTTTCAAGCAGCGTGCCCAAAGATCGGTTCTAGGGCCGGTTTTGATCAACATCTTTATTAATGACCTGGATGAGGGGATGGATTGCACCCTCAGCAAGTTTGCAGATGACGCTAAGCTAGGGGGAGAGGTACATGCATTGGCGGGTAGTGATAGGGTCCAGAGTGACCTACACAAACTGGAGGATTGGGCCAAAAGAAATCTGATGAGGTTCAATAAGGACAAATGCAGAGTCCTGCACATGCGACTGAAGAATCCCAAGCATTGTTATAGGCTGGGGACCAAGTGGCTAAGCAGCAGTTTGGCAGAAAAGGACCTGCGGATTACAGTGGATGAGAAGCTGGACATGAGTCAGCAGGGTGCCCTTGTAGCCAAGAAGGCAAATGGCATATTAGGGCGCATTAGGAGGAGCATTGCCAGCAGATCTAGAGAAGTGATTATTCCCCTTTATTCAGCTCTAGTGAGGCCTCAGAGTGCACCATGCAGATGGGCATGTGGCCAAGTCAGTGCATCAGGAGGCTCCCGTGCCACGTCGGCACCGGCTGAGCTTGTTGCGCAGTGAGAATCCGGTATCGGACGCGGCAATTGAAGAGGTCCGGCAATCGTTGACTCCGGAGGCCTTTGACACGACACCCGAGCTCATAGAGCTCACTGTATCCCGTGTCCGGTCACGATTATCGATGAACACCAGCCTCCGCCGTTGAAACTGGAACCAGCCATGCCACCAGCACAGCCGAGAGCGCCGGTACATGTGCCTCCTCCCCCTCCCCCCAATGCTGTGCTGGTTCCAGTACTGGCACCGCAGCTGCCCTCCATACTGGAATTGTATTGGTGTTACCGGTAGCACCAGCCACTTTGGGTACCCGGGCGCCGACAACTATGATGGGACAGGGCTGCTGGTGCAGAGCATGTGTTTGCACCCGATGCTGCCGCTGGTACCGACCCATAGGGGGAAGCCGGCAGCGATGGCCAGACATAGGTCATCTCATTGGTCTCCAGTACCATCGTTGGCACCACCTTGGTCGGCCTCGGACTAGTCCTCTAAGACCGGTGCAGACTCTGTGCACTCCGGGGTCTTGTCTTCTAGATCCAGGTCTCGGCACTCTAGCCCAGCCTCCCACCAGCCGTGGCAACCTCAACAGCAGTGGCCTTTCTGGACTCCCCCTGGGCATATCAGCAGACCCAGAGCCTTGGCCATCCAGACACTCCTTGGTGATGGCTCAGTCCAGAAGCGACCCCTCTGACCAGGGCCTGGCTTTGGAGGCAGCGCACTCTTCATATATGGAGGCCATCAGACCAACTGTGGAAGGGGAGGATGCAGTGTGTCGGGGCAACTGGTACAGCGTACTGTCACTTCAGGCAATGGACCATCCTCTGCCAAGAGTCTTCGTCTTCACCGGACAAGGCAATGGCTGACCCTGCACCTTCTATGCCCGCCATAGATGCTAGGGTGCACCAGGAACTGCTCTGCTGAGTGGCGGCAAACATGGGAGTGCAGGCGGAAGAGTTAACTGAGAATCTGGACCCTATGATGGACATATTGATGGCAGACACCCTGGCTGGGTCACGCTGCTGTTTAGCAAGTTTGGACACGGTTTTATTAAGACCCTGTAGCACGTGCCCACCTCCATCACGCCCACCCAGAAAGGGGTAGAGAGGCGCTACTTCGGCCCACAAGCAGGACATGAACATTTACGCTCCCATCTACCCCTGGGTTCACTGGTAGTCCAGGCGGTGGGGCAGAAAGAAGCAAGGGCCTCCAGGGCCTACACCCAAGAGCAGGGAGCCAAAGAACTTGGACCTGTTGGGCAGAAAGACTTAGCGACGGAGGGCTCCAAGTCCACATCGCAAACCAACACGTGATGTTGAGCAGATGTGTTGTACGCGTTAGACAAATTCAAGGCGCGCCTCCCCCAAGACACGAGGCAGGAGTTTAGGGCCTTGTTGGATGAAGGCAGGGTGGCCTTGCACACAGCGCTTTAGGTGGCACTAGACGCAGTGGTCTCTGCTGCCCGCCCTGCGGCTACGGGGGAGTCCTGAGACACAGTACTTGGCTACAGGTGTCCGGAATGCTGCCTGAAGTTCAAAACACACTACAGGCCCTACCGTTCAAAGGCACTGGCCTGTTCTCTGAGCAGACCGGCTCCAGGCTACATTAAAAGTTACATTACTTACTCAGGGCTACATTAAAATCCCTGGGAATCAATAACTTGGCCCCGCAACAGAGGCCTCTACACCCTAGGGCCACCCCGAGGCCCTTCCAACCGCCGTTTAGACCTGACCGGAGCAGAGGAGGGGCCGAAGTTACAATGGTAACAATAACAGGAGCAGGCGTAAGGGTTCTAGGCCTGACTTGGAAAGGGGATCAGCTCCACCCCCAACCAGCAGCCTAAGACATTTTGAAAGCACGCCTGAGGACAGCATTCCAGCCTCCAACATCACCCCACCCTTTGGGTCCCGGCTCTCCCATTTCTCCCTTGCCTGGTCCCAGATCACCTCGGATCATTGGGTACTCAGCCTGGTGGAAAGTGGATGCTCTATCCCCTTCCTTTCCCTCTTCAGGGACCCCTCGCACCAGCTATTATTGAAGCAGGAGGTATCCGCACTCCTGAGCTTAGGAGCAGTCGAGCCTGTTCCAAAGTGCTTCGAAGGGAGAGGGTTTTACTCCCGCTGATTCCTTATCCCCAAATCCAAAGGGGCCTTTGTCCCATTTTGGACCTAAGGAATCTAAACTCGTTTGAGGAATGCAAGGTTCAGGATGGTCGCTCTCGCCTCATTCATCCCGTCCCTAGAGAGAGGAGACTGGTATGCTGCCATCAACTTGAGGGGTGCGTATTTCCACATAGCAATAATTCTAGCCTATGGGAAATTTCTCCGGTTCTTAGTGGGCCAAGACCATTTCCAGTTCATGGGCCTGCCATTCAGCCTCTCCACCGCACTGAGGGTTTTCACCAAGTAGCCGCATTCCTGAGACTGCACAGGATCTGGGTGTTGCCTTACCTTGATGACTGGCTAATCAAAGGGTCGTGCAGGGACCAGGTCCTCAGGCACATACAGTGTCAGGGCTCTGTTTCACAAGCTGGGTCTCCTTATAAATGAGAAGTCCACACTCAGCCCCACCCAGATGATAGATTTCATCAGGGCGCACCTGGAGTCTACAGTGGCGAGGGTGTCCTTCCCCAAGGCCGTCAGAGCTACCACAGGCCTCAGAGCCTCGCCCCTTATGATGGCTTGTACTTGCATGAGGCTGCTAAGTCACATGGTGCCCTGCACCTTTGTGGTACAACATGCCAGGCTGCAACTACGACACCTTCAGGCATGTCTGGCAACTGTTCACAATCCAGCTCGAGCACCTCTAGAGGCTCTTCTCATGGTGCCGGAAGAGGTTCTCTGGTCTCTAGATTGGTGGTTACAAGAGCCGGTCGTGTGCTATGGAGTCCCATTTGCCAGACGGACCCATCAGTGCAGCTGGTGACCGACGCATCAGACACGGGTTGGGGAGCTTGCCTATCGAACCCAAGGTATGCATCCCCCAACGAGAGCACTCGCCATATCGTCAGAGAGCTCAGGGCTGTCTAACCCTGTGCAGTACATGTCCCCATCTTTTTTTTATTTGAAATCCTAGCTACCTTTTAGCTGTGCCTACAGCAAACACTGAGTGTTGAAACTTGGCCTGGACTAGTCATCACTGAGTATTTGCCTTTGCTTTTGTGTGGGAGTGACCGAGATCTGACCAGCTGAGTAGTCGCTTGGAGACAGCTGCTCTGTTAATGTGGGCACAGCTCGTCTCGAGGCACAGGGTTTGCCTCAAGCAACTTGCAAGCTTTTCTGGCAGTCAGCACCTGTGAATTCTACATGGTGGGCTTTCTCTTCTCAATCACTTACAAAATATGGATTTTACCTTTTGTTTCATGCTGGTGGATGAATTTCTGAACCAGTACGCTGTGCTTGCTACTGTAGATTATAAATGCTTTGTCATTAAAGATAATGTGACTAAGATCAGTAATTGTCGAGCTGAAAAGGGAAAGGAAGGAGGAGGTAGCATTGTTAACATAATGGACAAGAATATCTTGACTCTAATTCTATGAGCTGTAAGAAATGCAGCTGTGTAGAAGGCTTGGTAAGAAGTTTTTAAAGAGATGGCCATGAGGGAGGGGGCTCTAACATTGTTGCAAAAACTCTGCATAAGCTTCTACAGTTGAACCCAGCGAGAAATGCCAAGCTACAGTCTAGCACTATGAACACTAAGTTGCATTGTCTGGATTTACTGCCCTTTCTCCTTGCGTTTTCTGAATCGGTGTATAGCTCTGCATTACTGTTTCTGCAAACGTATTGTATTAAAACAGGCAGTTTTTATTGGGGGGGGGTGCTGACAGCAGAAACCATGTGTTTTGGTGGTTGTTACGACTTCAAGCTGCACCCCCCCCCTTGCATGCCTGACTTGTACAACACAACCAAACAAATGTGGTTGGTGTTGGCTTGTTCCCATTGGGTCTCTTGTATTTCCTGGCTTGCTCTGTGTTTGTGGGGTTTTAGTGGGTTGGTGTGTGGGGACTGGTTGGTCAGCTTTTAGGGATATTAGGTAGATTTTTCTCCTTATGTTTCTGACCCTGCCATGTGTTAGCCTCCTTTTCTTCTCTTCCCCCCCCACTCCCAAGCCAAACATGTACATGATCTTCAGACTAATGTAGGCTTTGTCTAGACTCACAAGTTTAAAATGCAGCTGCAGCAGTATGTTAAAGTGAAAGTGTGGCCACGCCACGAGCGCTACATCTCCACACGGGGGTAGCTAACAGTGCTGGGAGCACAGCTGGTTCACACTACTACTTACCAGCTGTGTAACCTGCTGTGTTCGGGGGCAGGGTCACACCCCTGAGCCAGAAAGTTACAGTGCAGTGAAGTGCCAGTGTTTACTTGGCCTGAATGTCCTAGCCACGGAAGAAGCCTTTGCTGTAGGGGGCAGAGGAACCTCTAAGACCAGGAAATAAATGAATACCTCTGACAATGATCTTTGATCTTGGCTTGACCAGGCTATCCTGAGGAGAAGCTTGAAACCAACCTGCACCATACTACCTTTGATGAAGAGAGAGCACAAAAACAACCTGGAGTTCTTCCTGACGCATGTTGGGAAGATCTACCTAACTGGGTAAGGAGCATTGTCTGCAACAGATAGTTTGCATTCCATCCTTTGGGTTGGACCTTTTCGGAGGGATTGAGACAGCCCCTTAGCTACCCTGTCAAAGGATTTCGGGAACATGTTGCTATAAAGCAGTGTTCCTCGTCTGACCTACGACTGTGTGGGATTGTTTTCTATGCTGGTGGTGAAGGTCAGACTACCTCGTGGATACAAGCTTAGGATTTCATGGGCAGCTGATGCTGTATTGCAGAGCTCCCTGTGCTGCTGTTCTCCAGTGCTAGGTTTGCTGTTGGCCTTTCTCCCAGGAATCCCACAGATTGTTGTAATGTCTCCTCGCTGCCCGGGCTAAAATCACTGAATTTTCTTGACTGCTTCTTTTTTCTCCAGAATAAATGTTCTCTCAAATAATCTGTTCCCACCTGTCGAATATCCTGTCCCAGTGGGAACCCCACTAATCTCTCCATACATCTTGTGGGACCACAGCCAGACTTGGGATGTCCCAAAAGCTGAAGACTTTCCCACTGGCTCTGGGGGATCTTCATCAGCATCGGTCTATAATATCGGTACGTTCGTGTTTTCCTCCATTCTGTGTCAGTGTCCCTTGTTGACAAAATGGGAATGCAAACTCCTCTAAACAGCCCCCTCGAACCCTGTATGAAGAGTGTATGTGAAGCTTATGTGGCGGCGATTGCTCTTGCACTTATACATGAAGTTATCTGAACAAAGCTAGGGGGTTCAGAATAAAAGCAGCTTTAAGCCCTCGATGGTCAGGAGGAAATTCCTGGAAATTCTTACCTTGTTCTGAAGGCTTCACTTCCTGGGAGTTCTAAAGGAATTTCTGTTTCCTGTTTATCTGGCAGATATGAATCCTGAATCCTCTGATTATTACTTGGTTGGTCACTGCATTGATGGCAGAGTCCTGTATCCAGCAACTGGCTACCTGGTGCTAGCCTGGCGAACACTGGCACGCTCTCTGGGGATTACCATGGAACAAATGCCTGTTATTTTTGAAGAGGTTACAATCCACCAGGCAACAATCCTTCCCAAGAAGGGTGAGTGAGAGGTCGCATCTGGGGTTTCAAACAATGTTCCCTCTAATTTTCTCCATCCATGTGTGGGATACATTTTGTTATACGCACTGAGGCATGTTGGATGTGCACCACTAGTATAAGTTGGACCTCTCTTATCTGGCATCCTCAGAACCTGTTGTCCCAAATGATGGAATTTGCCAGATATGGGGAGGTCCCCTGCCACCTGCCTTCCAGGATGCTCCGCCTACCTGCAGTTGGCTCCACTCCAGCCTGTAGGGTTTGGACTTAGGCTCCAGACTGCGGGGGTTCCCCAGGGATGGAGCTCCCCAGCAGCTGTGGCCCCAACTGGGAATCCCCAGGGACAGGGCTTGCCAGCTGCCCTGCTGCTTCCCCACCTGGCCGAGGCTCCTGCGGGGCAGGGCTCCCAGCTGGCACTCTGATCCAGCAACATCTGTGGTCCTGGATTTCGGAGGTTCAATCTGTAGAAGTACATGCTGCCAGCTAAGTGCTGTGCTAAATAGTAGGGTGACATTTGAAAATCTCCGGGGGCGGGGCGGGGTGGGGGGACTCAAACATTCAGCTTCTAGGGAAGGCAGGTCTCAAGCTGTCTGGTAAAGATTGAAAAGCTGGGCAGAAGGGAAACATGCGTATCAGTGGGGAGGGAGAAGGACGCAAGTGGACTGTCCTGTTGTCTCTGTTCCATGCGCGCACAGCGGGGCAGCAGGAGGTGTGAAAAGCAGGCGATTGCAGGGAATTTGGGACACGGGGGAAGGTGTGCTTGCAGCAGGACAAGAGTCTCCCTAGCACTCATTTCAGCAATCCCTGGGTTCATTGCAGGTTCAGCACAGCTGGAGGTGAGACTCCTGCCTGCTTCCCACTGCTTTGAGGTGTCCGGGAATGGAAACCTGGCTGTAAGTGGTAAGTGGCTAACTGGCTCAGTGAGCCTACTGTGAAGAATCCCAGCCGTGTATGTCTGGGCACTGACTGCTCTCGTTCTCTGTATTGCATCTGTCAGGGAGAATTTGCCTTTTGGAAGAAACTGCTCTAGATAACTTCCATAGCCAGCAAGGTGCCTGGGAGACCCAGCCGGACAGACCCAAGTTCAGTCTGTCCACGGCCGATATTTACAAAGAGCTGCGTCTGCGTGGGTACGACTATGGGCCATCGTTCCAGGGACTTCTGGAGTCTAACAATGAAGGTGTGGCTTTCCTGTAGAGATCCCCAGTGCAGTTCTGTGACTGAATGGGCCATATTTAACGTGTCCGCCTGTCTGTGTCATGGGGTGGGCATGCATGACAGGGTGCAAATATGGTACCTTTATTCATGGAACGGGGGAGAGGCTGGCCTGGGCAGGGCAGGCATTGTGGGATTCCCTGTGTAGCTGTGTGTACCAGAGCCTGCGCGGCCAAAGAAGAGATTTTACTTCTCTCATTTGTCTGGCTTTGGAGCAGGTGTTCTCCTAGGTCTGCTGGGTGAAAGAACACTCATGGGGCTGCTTCTCTTCCGCAGGGAGCACCGGAAAAGCCCTGTGGAATGGGAACTGGGTAACATTCCTTGATACCTTGCTGCAAATGATCATCCTGGGTGAGACGGGTCACAGCCTCCGCTTACCAACTAGGATACGCTCTGTGTGCATCGATCCCGCACTACACCAGGAGCGAGTGCACAAATACCAGGAGGATACTGAAGGTAACAGACCCTCTTCCACAATAGGAACTTTCTCAGCCTCTTGATGGCTCCTCGTGACCTGAAGTAGCTTCACCTGCCCAGAATAGTACAAGAGACTCGTAAGACCCCTGGGTCCCCGAGCCACTGTTGCTTCTCCTGCTGTGCGTTCCGTCACGGGTCTGAGCATTGTAAGCCCAGCGATGCCTCTTCCTGTGACGCTTCCAGCATGTATCTGCATGTCCCCTTCTTGCCTTGCAGCTTGTGACGTCGTTGTTGACCGCTGCCTTGATAACATCATGGCAGGAGGTGTTCGGATCTGTGGGCTCCATGCCACGGTGGCACCTCGGCGACAGCAGGAGCAGATACCTCCCACCCTGGAAACATTTTGCTTTGTGCCTTACGTTGAGAAGGATTGTTTGTCTTCAGAGGCCCATCTCCATGCCCACTTGGAACATTGCAAAGGTAAAGGGATTTGGGTCCCACTGGAACAACCTGGGGAGAGCAGGCAGCAACGGCTCACTATGAGCATCTTGGAATCTCTGCCTGGAGAACAGCAAGGATCTGTCCCTGCTTCTACTGGTGGAGACCTGTCCAGACTGTTCTAGCCTGGAGATACACCTGGGACTGTGGTTCATTGCACTGGCAAAAGCCAGTGGTGGCCCACAGCACAGTTGTGGTGGAACAACTGCTGGGGGTCCTATGAATTGACTGCCCAGCCCTCTCGGCACCACGGAGATGGGCTGATTGAGCATTTCTCCAAGGCATCCTCCCCCAGCAGGGCTCCTATGGAGTCCCCGCTCAATTTGGGAGTCTCCCCGAGTATATATCCCTCTGCCCCAGAGTTGAATGTCAGCTGCTGCAGCTGTCCTAGGAGGTGGACAAGGACGTGAATTCACCTTCAACACCTTTGAGAGGAGTCTCACCCAGTCACTTCTCAAATATTGGCAGGAGACTATTGCGACTTGTCTTTATTGCGGATTCCTTTTTGTGCCTGCAGAGAAGGCTTACGGGCATTTAGTCATGTCCCCCTTCCCCTCCCCACACCACAAACGGTCTTCTGACGCTGGCTAAGGAAGGGACAGCTCCAGGAGCTATTGAGCATACGTTTACACTCAATCTATTGAGGACGCTTCTAGCATAGCTGAGTATTAAGGGGTGGAATGGGAGACCCAGTGAGGACAACCCCACCCTTTCTCCCGGCATGACTTAGAATGGATATTCAGTTTGGTAGTGGAACTTTTAACTTGGGTCTCTCAGAGCACCTGGAATTTTTTGTCAGGAGATTACGTCCTCCTCATCTCTCCTCTTCTTCTTTTTTCCCCTTTCTCTTATTCTAACTTAGTGTGTGTCTCTCTCGCCCCCCTCGCCCCCCACCCTGAGTGGCCTCCCCACCCCAAAAGAATCTCACAAGTCAAAGGAACTGAAGTAAATCAAACAAATCATATATAAAATAAGCAACTAAAGGCACAGACATGCCTCCTGTCTGTCAAGGACTCTGTTCTGCTGTCTTAACTCCAACCACTAAGGAGTCCCCTACTAGCCATCTCTGGGTGTCTGTCCCTTGCACAGTCTTGTTTGTCCAGAGCCTGCCCCAACAAGGCCCTCTCCTGATTGGCTGCTGGCATAATACAAATTGGTAATAATGGGGTGTTCTGTTTGGAAGTGGGTATCACACTTGGGTTACACAGTACACAAGACCCATGGCTGATATTTGAGGAAAGCCACGAGGGATGCTGTCCTCCAAGTGTTCCGCTTGCCGTGCGTATGTGGAGAAGGCCCTACGGGAATGAAGATGAGGAAGAGCTGTGTCAGGAACTGATTTTTCTTCTCCTCCTCCTCCTCCTCCTGTGCTCTAGGTCTGATTTGCAACTTACAGGAGAAGGTAGCAATCCATGGAGTCAAACTGGCCATCCCAGGGCTAGAGACTGGGGGGGCCTCTGCAGGGCCTGTGTCCATGCAGAAGGGCCTCCTCCACATCCTGGCTGAAATCTGCCATCTGGATTTGAATGGCAACCTGTATACCGAGCTAGAGCAGATTGTTACTCGGGAGAAGGTGCATCTGCAGGATGATCCCCTCCTCAATGCCTTGCTAGATTATCCTCAGCTGAAGGCTTGTGTGGATACAGCTCTGGAGAACACTGCAAGCCACAGGATGAAGATAGTGGAGGTTAGTTGGGACTCCAGGAGGAGAAACTATGGACTGGGTCCCAGGGAGGCTTTGGGATCTTTTTCCTCTTTCCATCCCGATAAAAATTCTGGACATCTTAGTTCCTTGGTTCTTTCCCTGCAGGCTCTGGCAGGAGATGGACGTCTGTTCTCACGTGTTCCTGGTCTCCTAAACACTCAACCCATGCTGCAGCTGGACTACGCTGCCACTGACCGAGCCCCAGAAGTCCTTTCCATCAGCGAGAGCCAGCTGCAGGAACTGGGGGTTTCCACTGCACAGTGGGATCCTCTCAACCCTCCTCCTGGACACCTGACTGGTGCTGACCTGCTGCTGTGCAACTGCTCTGTGAGCATGTTTGGGAACCCAGCGGAGACCCTCTCTAACCTGGCCGCCGCAGTGAAGGAAGGAGGGTTTGTCTTACTGCACACGCTTCTGAAAGGAGAAATGCTTGGCGAAACCATCCGTTTCCTCACAGCTCCCGATCTTCCGCAGAGGGGCCTCTTGGCTCAGGTAAGCTATTGGCCTCCTGCGATGTTCTCTCTACAGCTAGCCCTAGAGAGGCTTAACTCTGCTTGGCTGCTCCAGCCTTCTTGTTCCGTCTCAGGAATGTATAGAAATATTCCTAGTCGGGGGGGCTTAGGGCAGAATGTATTTCAGGTGACTAGTGTTAGTTCCCATGGCCCTCCATACGAAACATTCGCCACCTACAGCTAGTTGCTTTAGTCTCTGCTGTATTCTCATGTAGGGGTTCTGAGTTAAAGGAATGATCTGGTTTTTTTTCCTGCTCTGGAAATGCTGACAGCAGTAGGGATGTAGAAGGTTACCTGGTTACCCAGCCGTGGCTGAGTCTGGCCGGCCATACCAGGCCACCAAGCAGGGCCTCACCTGCAGTAGTCCCCTGGCCCTGGCTACGTTGAAGCAGCCTTGGTGGTCACACGGGATCCTGGCCCCAGCTATATCGGATTGTCCCAAGGGGGCCCCTGGACCCAGCTGTGGGCAGGACCCCGGCTGTGTGGCCATGCCAGAGTGGGGCAGGCAGGGCCCCAGCCATTCTGGGCTGGCAGGCAGGATCTGCCTGCCAACTGTTAACTGGTTAAACAGTATAATTATATCCAGTTTTAACTGGTTAACTATTTTAATGGTTATTTACACCCTAGAGGCCAATGGGGGGGGGAAATGAGACTGGAGCCACCAAGACATTGACTAACCTCGGGAAGTCTGACAGGCTCCAACGAGTCCTGGGCAAAAGCAGCATCCTTCTAGCACAGCAAGGCCTAAGGAAGTACTGTAGCTATTTACATGCTCTCTCCTGAGAGGTCCCAAAATGCTTCATAAATACAGGAAGATCCTTCGTCCGGTAGTGATGCTTGGCTGGAGCTCTGCTGCTGCTCAGTAGTGTGACCCACTGTCATCCATTAAATTGGAAAATAGAAATAAGGGAGGTAAATTTAATCTCCTGAGTTGGACTGTAGCTGAGACCCTGATTTTTGCAAAAAGTCCTGTGAGATCAGCATTAGCTTTTCTTTTGCCCAGAAGATGAGGGAAGTGAGGAGGCGTTTGAACCCCTTTACCTACAGAGGATATTGCTGGTTGACAAGACACTGAGACGCCAAAGTCTAAAGTGACTTTTTTGAGTTTCTAACCCAATTTTTTCACTCACACTCAGAGTTATGGGAGGTCAGTCTTGTAGTAGCAAACTCACGGAGTCAGGTCCTGCCCCCATGTCCGCAATTGGCTATAGAATGCATGCAGAACTTGGCCTGCTGTGATCACCAGACTTCTTCAGTATATTTTCTAATCCTTTAATAAAAGGAGGTATTAAAGTTGGCCAACTGTGCTGGTGCCTTTGATAAGGAATTTCCCCCTGGCTGGCTTATACCCTCCTTTAGGTCTTTTATCCTGTCAGAATGCGAGGGTGGCAGAATTTAAGTGCCATAGCTGAGTGACACCATCTAACTTCTTTGAAAGAAAATGCGGCTTTCCCAAGTAATACCTGTGCATGGATTTCATTGAATGATTTTGTCTGTTTTCAGTCCTTTCCAGGCTCACGTTAGAACGTACCATAGAACAGTCTGGGCCGCTGGGCCTGCCACGCGTACAACCAAAGAGCATTTCATTTTCCTCCTCTTCGCTGCCATGTCACTTGCTTCTAGAAAATCTTAAATGTTGCAGCTGCCTCCTCCTCCTCCTGTTCTCTGCTAGATGCCCCTCTAGATGGAGGGATTCAGGTCACTGTGTTCGCTCTCCTTTTTTGTTAAAGATGTAACCTACTTATGGTAACCAGAAGTGCTCAGAAGAAAACTCGTGTTTCTTGGCCCCCTGACCTGAGTCAGTTACTGTTGATAAGCAGCATTACTCTTGCTAGGCAAAGAGCCACAGCCCTTGCTATTCTTAAGGCAACTGGCCTAGGGAGGGAATGAACACATGGCTGGGTAGAGTCTCTGGCAAAAGCGCAGCTCGTGCATAGAAAGAGGAGAGGGTTGGCTAAGGGAGGAGATGTTGCACACAGTAGAAGTCTCGTTTGCAATTCTAATCTTTTCTGTTTGCCAATAGTTTTCATGTTTCTTGCTTTGGCAGGCAGAATGGGAGGATTTATTTAGCAAGGCCTCATTGAATCTGGTTGCTGTGAAAAGATCCTTTTTTGGCTCTGCCATCTTCCTATGCCGCCGGCAGGCTGCTGCCAAGATCCCTCTTTTCCTGCCCGTAGATGAGACCCATTACAAGTGGGTGGAATCTTTAAAGGTGAGAATTCTTGTGTATGGAGTTGGCTACATGTCTGTCCTGTTTCCAGGCCTTTCATACAGTAGACAAGAAGCCTTGAAAACCCGGGTGTTGATACTTCATGAAGTTCTTGCACTGCATATAGAGAAACCATTGCGTTTCCTTCAAGCCATCCCTTACAGAAGTAAGAACCCTTTCCTTGTCTGAGCTGGCTGGGATTTCTCTTGTAGGTGATCTTAGCTGATACATCTGAGCAGCCTGTGTGGCTGACTGCTACCAGCTGTGGGCATTCAGGAGTTGTGGGAATGGTGAACTGTCTACGCCAGGAACCAAGGGGCCACAGGATCAGGTACAAAAATCCAGTGTTTAGTTACTGCTGGAGAGGAAGTGATCTTCCACCAGCTTCAACACACAACAGGTAAGCAACTCATGTGACAAACGTGGATTGAATGTTCGTTTGCTCTCTAGATGCCTGTTTGTTTCCAACCTGCATTCGTCCTCGTCTGTCCCTCCGACCAGCCCTTCTGCCATGGAGATGCAGAAAATTCTGCAGGGAGACCTGGTGATGAATGTCTATCGTGACGGAGAGTGGGGCTCCTTCAAACATTTTCTGTTGCAGCAAGGTGACTTATGAGCAGGGCCTGATGGTCATTGGTCAACATTTCCTCCCACAGATCTGAGTGAGATTTGAGGAGCTGCTTTGATCATTCACTGGCCCAAGGAATTACTCCTCTTATGCACTTATACCCATGGACTCTCTCTCTCCCTATTCCAGGACAGAGGCATGTGCCGATGTTACCAGGTAGAATGCTCTGTTTTGTAGCGCTTGGGAGATTGCAGGGTGAGGAAGGTCTTGGGTGGAGTGAATGGTAGGAACTGGCTAAGTAGAAACGGCAGCTTTCCTCTCACTCCTGCGTGGCTCGTCTGTCACCATAGTATGGGTGCTATTCTTGCCACACAAGGAACCTGCTCCATCAACTGAAATATGGGTAAAGCGCTCTCCCCTCGGAGTCACTGGCTTCTCCTTGTTCTGCAGCCCAGCCTCAAGAGATGACCGACTATGCTTATGTGAATGTGCTGACTCGTGGGGACCTCTCATCCCTTCGCTGGATTGCCTCTCCACTTCGCCACTTCCGCACGACCAGTCCCAACATCCAACTCTGCAGGGTCTATTATGCATCTCTTAATTTCCGCGACATTATGCTGGCCACAGGGAAGCTCCCTCCAGATGCCATCCCAGGTGAATTGGGGAGTTTGTGCCATTTCCACAACTAAAATTATGTATATATGTTTGCAAGTCTGATGAGCGCATTGCAGTTTTTTACTAGGACATTGGATGTAAATCAGCCTTTTTTTCTTTGGCAACCAGAGGCCCAGTGTGAACACAGAAAGGGGGGCCAGGCACTCCTGCAGTGCTAACACCCTTTTGCATTTATATGGTACTATTTTAATGCTCACCGAATACGTAGGAGGTGAGAAAAAAGGGAAACTGAGTTGGAGATGAAGTGACTTGCCCAAAACCCCAAAAGGACTGAGTATAGGAACCAAGATTAGAATCTGGGATAGGGATGTTAAAATTAGATTAATTGAATAGTCGATGGAATTTCCATCAATTAGTTGATAAGGGCGCTTCCACTTTGAAATGTAGGAAGCACCGGCTGGAACTCAAGGGCGGAAGGGCCATGCGGTGTTCCACCTTCAAAATGTAAAATGCCGCTGCCACGCCCCTGCCCCCTCCCGCGGAGCTTGAGGGAACCAGCTTTTATAGGCAGCAAGGTGGTGTGGTGGGGGGATGCAAATAGTGTGCGTCAGCTAGTTAATAAGCTATTGCTTATTGGCTAGTCAATTAGTCACTTACATCCCTAATCTGAGAGTTCCTAGCTCAGTCCTCCACTCGTGTTAGCTAGACTGCCTCTGGCCTTTGAAAGAGTCACTTCAGCACTCAGTGTCTTGGCTTCCCCACCTGTAAAATGGAGCTAATCATAGGCAGTATTCTGTCTGCAAAGCACTTCTGAAGGGGTGAAGAAATAGAGCGGTGTTGGTGGCAGTTGTTTGTTAGATGACTTAACTAGAGCGAGAATGTGTCCCCAACCTAGTCTAGCCACCCTACACATGCCTATTCGTTGCATAAATCAGAGTCTTGGTGTGAATCTTGCTTGCCTATAGGTCAAGTGACCGACTTCCAGTTTGTCTGAAGGACCTAATGTTTGTTTGGGTTTTTCAGAGACAAGGGAAAAAACCCTGCAAACAAGATGAGATTTCAGTGCAGTTTCTTGAAAGAGCTAGAGGTTAAAACGATAGTACTGAGAATAGACATTGAGATGTGGGGAGTTCAGCTTTTCCCAGAGCTGTGACTGGCAGCGCTTCTCAGTTTGAAGAGTCTGTAGAAAGAGAAAATAAGCCACTCGGCTTAAAAAGCCACGCAAGTGGGACGCTAATCCCAGGATCTGGAGATGGAGTTGCCCTCCTCATTCTCTCCCCAATTCCAACTCCAGAGAGATGGTTCTGATGGTGAATACTTGACCCAAAGGATTTTACAAGAGCAATTTTATTGCAATAATTGTATCCCTTTCTCAGGTAACTGGGCTCTGCAGCAGTGCATGCTGGGAATGGAATTCTCAGGACGGGATGCTTCTGGAAAAAGGGTGATGGGATTGCTCCCAGCCAAAGGACTGGCTACTGTGGTGGACTCTGACCAGAGGTTTTTGTGGGAGGTGCCAGAGGCCTGGTAGGTCTTGGTTCCACGTTTCCTAGGTGTTGGCTGCCTGAATGAAACTGAAGCCTCCTTTGGGGATGGTTACGGGGCGAGGAAAGAGTTAATGGAAGGAGCTGGGCTTGGAGGTGGTAGCAGGGCTCTAGTCTGACTGTCCTGTATTGACTTTTTGCATTCAGTACATCAGTGCCCCTGCAGACACTGGAGTCAGTACCCGGGTATCTAGCCAAGCTCTGTTAGTGAGCTCCAGTAAGCTCGGCTCTTTGCCTCTCCCTGTGTCTGTAGCTTGGGCGTGCACAGGAGGAGCCTAATTGTGACTGACTGTCGATGTATTGAAAGCCGAGCTGGGCTCAGCATTCCCTGCCCTCTGGGCTGACTGGGCAATAAAGGCCCTCCACAAAGAATACTTCCTTTGTCATAAGGCTCCCCCCGCCCCGCTCGCTGCCTGTGCCAGAGGAGTCTGGCGGTTTCCATGGGGATGAACAGAGATGCTGTCAGGCCCTAAACTACAAGGACTCTTTCAAGGAACCAGAGTGGGGCCATCAGCTGGCGGTGCAGGTTCCCTGGGAGTCCATGCAGGGCCCACGTCTGTTCTGGGGAAAGAGGCACCGCACTGCTTTTCCTACAGATTGGAGGGCCTGAGCAGTCTCATGTTCTGCCTCAGACACAGGGAGTTGTTTCCTCCAGAACTGAAACCTCTGTCTCTTTCTTTCTTTAGGACTCTGGAGGAGGCAGCCTCCGTGCCAGTGGTCTATGCCACTGCTTACTATGCGTTAATTGTGCGTGGCGGCATGCGGAAGGGCGAGAGTGTGCTCATTCATTCCGGCTCGGGGGGCGTGGGCCAGGCAGCCATTGCTATTGCGCTGAGCATGGGCTGCCGTGTCTTTGCTACTGTGGGTAAGAACCGATGTCCTGTTTCTGTGAATCCCCTTCTGCACCGTTTCCTGCCAGTCTGTGCTAACCCTGGTCCATTTCCACTCTGAGAGCACCTAGAAAAGGAGATGAATGCAGCTGCTGGCCCCATGACAAAATCTGCCCCTTTCCTCCCCACTGCAAACACATGCACAAACCCCGTCTCTGCATGGCACCATGCTACTTTCATTTAACGAGCGCCACTTGAGTGACTCGAGTGACATCCCCATTACAAGGGGATGAGAAGAAAATAAGGCCCTTTGGCTTTAGATACAGAAGCGTCTCTGAAATGTGATCAAGAAAGTTTGACTTGGTTTGGCCCTTGTTGTAACACAGCCATCTTTAGCTTGCTAACAGGAACAAAGCCATAGCTACAACCTCCCCTGGTCCAGAGGCTCTGCAGGTGTCCAGTCTCAGAGCTCTGTTATGGGCATCGGAGAGCTAACCCCATTAGCAGAGGGCAGGGAGACTCTTGCTGTTTGAGCCAAGGTGTGCTATGTTTCAGGACAATAAAAGGCTCCTTTGTTGTCAGGTTCTGTTGAGAAGCGCGAGTATCTCCAGGCAAGATTCCCTCAGCTGGATGCCAACAGCTTTGCCAGCTCTAGAAATACCTCCTTTGAGCAACACGTACTGCGGGTCACCAAGGGGAAAGGTGAGTCCAAGGAACAGGGGGTAGCAGAAGGGTGGTAGAGTTAGCGAGATGGTGGCTAGAATATCAGTGAGAAAAGGTCACAGAAGGTCAGACTTCTGCCAGGAATGAACATGCTAAATGCTGTTACTCCTCCCTTGTAGGGGTCAACCTGGTATTAAACTCCTTGGCAGAAGAAAAGCTCCAAGCCAGCCTACGTTGCCTTGCTCGACATGGACGCTTCTTGGAAATAGGCAAATATGATCTGTCCAACAACAGCCCACTTGGTAAGTCATATGGCATCAGGAAATGTCTGGTTTTAGCTGGACAATAACTTTAAAAGGCTTGTGGACCCACAAACCCATTAACTTTGCAATAGTACATTCATCACTGACACTTATCATTTGTTTTCCAACAAGCCCCTTCCTGCAAATGCCTGTGCTGTGTTTCTTACAGGAAGAAGCTCTCCATAAATGTGTAAAGCCACTCGGTTATCCTTCAGTTCTCTGCTTTTAAAACCAGCCTATGCCACGACGCCTAAAGCACTTAACCGTGGTTAGGCAACTAGTGGGATAAGCAATGGCCATATCACACTAACCCTAACTCTCTCTACAGTGCAGCTCTCCTGTATGCGTGGATCCATTTATCTCATCATTATATTTGCACTGTAAGCTCTTTAAGGCAGGGACTAGCACAACCAGCCCCAATCAGGATCCTGTGGGCACTACTGCATTAGAAGCAATAAAAACAGGGTTCTGACTGACAGAGTTGGTGTATGTGTTAAGGCCAATGTTAAGACTTGAACTAATGATCTTCAAGATCATTATACATGGTAAACAGCAGATTAGTGAAATTTACGAATGATGTTAAATTAAATTAGGACGCACTGCAAACACAAGTGAGAACAGAAATATTCCAAAGGGACCTAGAGACAGTAGAAACATAGCATAAAATTACAATGTAATTCAGCTTGGCAAAATGAAGCTAAAACATCTGGGGTGAGTGGAAATCAAATGCTGCTACCCAATGTGTGGGAAAATCCTGGGCAGCCATAATGCAAAGAGATTGGACATGTTAGCAATATGATATGGTAACAAGATGACGAAATTTTGGATTGCATAGACATCACAGAGCAGGGAGGTGACGGAGCTATTGTGTAGATCGCCCCTGGAACATTCAACTCCGTGATGGCCATGTCATTGCTACAAAGAGAGAGCCAAATTAGCTGGATCTCCAAAAACAACCACCAAAGTGATCACAGGGCTGTTAGCTTGGTTATCATGACATGCATGGACAGTCTAAGAATTGAGGGTGGAGTGGGATGACTTAGGGCAGTAGTACAGGGTGTACGCATTAGGAAAAGGGAACCCAGACTAACTATTAGGAAAAACTTCCTGGTGATGGGCTGTATCAGGTATGGGATAGTTGCTTACAGGAAGTGGTGGCAGCCCCATTGCTTGGGTCTTTTATAACATGTCAAGACCAAGAACTTTTGAAAGTATCTGCTAGGGAGAGATGGACAAGAAGATTAATGGTGCTTTTCCCTGCTTACATTATATGGTTCAGCTCTTGTTTGCTGCAGAGTTCTGCTCTCTAGATAACTGATCAGCCATTTATAGTTTTGTCCTGATGTAAAAATGCTTATAGCTAACATCCTTGCCAGTGGTTTGTGTGTGTGGAGCTGAGCATGTCCTTGCTGAGCACCATTGCTCAGGTAGTATTAAATAAGCTCTTAATAAAGCAGTTATTTTTCCCTATTGCCGCATGACTGTTGTATATCACACTCCTATATGACTGATTTGAATGGAGGCATGCAAATGGTTTTGGAAGTGAAGAGATTTGACAAGAGTTGCTTCTTCTAGGAATGGCCCTGTTCCTGAAGAATGTAGCATTTCATGGAATCCTGCTTGATGCCATATTTGAAGAGGGAAGCCAGGAGTGGGAGGAGGTGTCAGACCTGCTGAAGAAGGGTATAAGAGATGGGGTGGTAAAACCGCTGAGGACTACGATCTTCAACAGAGAGGAGATAGAAGCTGCTTTCAGGTTCATGGCACAAGGAAAACACATTGGCAAAGTTGTGATCAAGGTAACGAGGTACCTGTAGGCCTTGGCTTCTCTTCTTTTGTCATTCTGACCCAGGAATCCTGTTGGTATGAACTGCATACAAAAAAAGGCACAGTTGGCCAGGTGGCACATGAAATATTTCAGAACCAAAGTAGTATGACCTTGAATGAGGGAAAGTAACTTCTGTAGTGGGAGTGGGGTATGTGCATGTATTTTCTCCTCCTTACGTGTTGTCTGTGTTGGAAGGTCTGTGAGGAAGAGAAGGAATTTCCTGTGAGAAAGATGGAGCCAGTCAGACTCTCTGCCATCTCCCGAACGTCCTGCCCACCTACCAAGTCCTACATCATCACAGGAGGCCTAGGTGGCTTTGGGCTGGAATTGGCTCAGTGGCTGGTTGAGAGAGGCGCTCAGAAGCTTGTACTGACCTCTCGTTCCGGCATCCGATCTGGTGAGTGGAGAACCTAAAATATGGGGTGGGAAGAATGGAGTCCAGGAACTGTGGTCTCACGATTGCTCCTGTGGCTGATGTTTCAGATTGTAGGAGAGCTCCATTCCCATGTCCCTTAGATTATCCAGCTCCCCGGAAAACCACGCTATTTCCTTTGCCGTTGCATTTCTTCAGGGGATTTTTTCTCTTCTTGCTGCCTATTCCTCCTTTGTTAATACATGCGCTCATCCTTTCCCATCTTCCCCTTCCCATCCTCCCCCATCTACCTGTACAGTCTGGCTTCCACCTTTCCATTCTACTGATGCTGTCCTTACTCAAGCCCCCAAATAAATCCCCTCTTTTCAAAACCTTTCCTTAATGGTATCCTGCCATCTTGCATCTGCAAAGCACCAGCTATGCCTTTGTATGGAGCCAAAGCCAAATTTACAGCCTTGCCTAGAAAAAGAGCTCACACTGCTGCCAGAGAGCGGTGGGACCGGAGATGTGGAAGAGTCCAATGCCAAAGCCATAATGAAAGTCACTAGATCTCTTTTAGAGAGCTGATTCTGTGTGATCTATGGCTACACTTGGCCACAAGGAAAGTGGGCTGCACTTTAAGTAACAGCTCCAGCCAGTCTGCTCAGCATTTAGAAGAGGGGGTGTTGCCTTCATCGTTAAGATGGGCAAATTGCGTGTCTGGGGTCACACAGTTACCGGATGGCTGTTGGGGAAAAGAACTGAGTGTCATCCATTTAATCCTGAGTGAACACTGAATCCGTCTGCAACCACAAGACGATCTGATGCCTCAGTTGAAATGTTGTGGTTGGTCTTAGGGCAAATATAACCTGAATACGTAACGGAGACGTCTTTGCAACAGCCTGGTGTGGCCATAAAACGTCCAGGGAACAGAGCTTCACCAGGGCAGAGTGGCTGGAATAATGGATCTCAAACTAGACTCTTTTTTCAGGTTACCAAGCTAAACGAGTCAGAGAGTGGAGGGAGATGGGAGTCCAGGTCCTGGTATCCACCAATGATGTTGGGACTTTAGAGGGAACACAGCACTTAATAGAAGAAGCTTCACAGCTTGGACCAATTGGGGGCATCTTCAACTTGGCCATGGTGAGTGACAAAAATACTGGAACGCAAAGGTCAGAGCAGCTGCCAAAGGGCCTTCTGGGTGACTTTGCCTTTCAAAGTGCAGGTGACCGGGATCGCCCTGGTAACATGGAGCTGCTCTTTCACTTCCTCCATCTGAACTCTTGCTCCCCTGGTCAGAGGCACTACAGAGACAGTACGTTCAGCTCATAGTGACCTCTGGGGCCAAAAAAGGCCTCTCCTGCACTTTGTAGTTGAGGATGACCATGGTAGTGGGGAGGCCTAGAGACAGAAGAACATGACGACTTCTCGTTGAGGCTGGAAGGAGGTTACTGCATTCAGCTAAAAGATTATCTTGTTCTTAGTAGTAATTCTGCTTCACCGTGTAAACATGTAGGCGGCGTGCCCTTTCTGTGCCTCTCCAGCATCTTTGTACAGAGAAGCGCTCTGAAAGAGCTTGGCTGGGTCTCTTGTTCCAGAACTTAATGGAGAATCTGCTTATTGCATATTTTGAAGTTGAAATTGCTGCAGGGTTAGATCATCCTGAGCAGAGACACTGATGTTGTTTGTTGTCTCCCATAGGTCCTTAAAGATGCCATGCTAGAGAATCAGTCTCCAGAATCCTTCCATGATGTCAGCAAACCCAAGTATGCAGGCACCCTTCATCTGGACAGGTAGGTGTCACAGGAGAGAGAAATGTGGGGCGCTTGCATGGGGCTGGCGGCCAATAATACTCTGAAAGATCTCTACTTTTTACTGGCACAAGGGAGGGGGAAGGGAATGATCCTTTTACAACAAGTTGTTACTTTATCATGTATCACTTTTCTTCTCTCCAATTCCCAGGGTGAGTCGTGAAAAGTGTCCAGATCTGGACCATTTTGTTGCTTTTTCCTCTATAAGCTGTGGAAGAGGAAATGTCGGGCAGAGTAACTATGGTTTTGCCAACTCTACCATGGAGCGCATCTGTGAGCAGCGACGACATGATGGGCTCCCAGGTAATAATGCAGGACCCCATCTACAGACCATGGCTACTCCAACAGCTGGAAGAAAATGCATATTCAGCTAGCTCATGCACTGACCGCTCAGAACTCCCTGTCCCGCCTCATTCTCTAGGTCCCACATGCCTAATGTACTGGATTGTCAGCATGGAGTCGTAGAAACATGGGCTGGGCAAGGACCTTGATAGGTCATCTAGACCAACCCCCTGAAGTGAGACAGGATTAAATATTATGGGATCATTCCTGACCGGTGTTTCTAAATTGTTCTTAAAAGCTTCCAGTGTTGGGGATTCCATAATCCGGGTATGTCACTTGTGCCAGTGCTGAACTACTGTTACAGTGAAGGCTAATCTCTTTTCCTCCTACATCATGTTTTCCAGGCTTCTAATCAATGTCATTGCTCTCCTGGATTTTCTTCAATTTGTCCACATATTTCCCAAACTGCAGTGCCCAGAACTGGACACAATGCTTATGTCGGATCCGCACTTACGAACGGGGCTTTCTCGCCCCGGAGGTCGAGGTAGCGGATTGCTACCTGCGAGCTCCGGGGTGTGAGAGCCCCGTTCGTAAGCTGCTCCGGTGCCCCTGGGCTGCCGGGCCCCGTCCCCAGCAGACCACAGGCACCGGGACTGAAGCCGCAGCCGCGGCGGGGTCCTGCGCCTCTGAGGCTTTGCCAGAGCAAAGCCTCAGAGATATATTCTTTAATCTGTTATTTTCCTATTTTGTCTTGGGTTCTTCCCTCGTGTTGTGAATAATTGTATTAAATATCTGGTCACCATTAATCTTTTTAATGAAACCTGAAGCATAATAGGCATTAAACCTCCCAGACCTTCTTGATGTCATCAGATCTTCTTCCTCACTAAGCAGACTAACACTTTCTGATGTCTTCCTCATGCTCCTAACATTTTTAAAGATCTCTTCTTATTACTGCTTATACAGGCAGTCCCCGCAGTTACGAACGGGGCCCTTCCTCTCCCTGGTCTCCAGCAGACCACGGAGAGGAAGCAAAGCGGTGGAACACGCGGGCAGCGGACAGGGTTATCCGCTGCCCACGCGCTCCGCGGCTTGGCTCTGCTTTGCCCCCCCGTCTAACTGGCGGTCAGTTTCAGCAGCGGCTGAATCTGGACGCCAGTTCCGACTTACATACAGATTCAACTTAAGAACAAACCTACAGTCCCTATCTTGTACGTAACCCGGGGACTGCCTGTAATTTGATCTTGATGACAAATCTGTTTTGACTGTTACTTATTACCTTGTCTTCTAGGTGTTTGCACATTGATTTATTTTTTGCTCAATTTTCCAGTTTCAGCAGCGGCTGAATCTGGACGCCAGTTCCGACTTACATACAGATTCAACTTAAGAACAAACCTACAGTCCCTATCTTGTACGTAACCCGGGGACTGCCTGTAATTTGATCTTGATGACAAATCTGTTTTGACTGTTACTTATTACCTTGTCTTCTAGGTGTTTGCACATTGATTTATTTTTTGCTCAATTTTCTGTCCTGATTCTCAAGTTAAGATGATGGGTCTATAATTCTCTGGGTTGTCCTTATGCCCCTTTTTGTTGGCAGGCACTATATTTGCCTTTTTCTAGCCCTCTGTTATATCTCCCATCCTTCATGAGTTCCCAAAGATTATCGCTAATGGCTCAGCAAGTTCCTTAAGTATTCTAGAGTGTATCCCATCTTGCCCTGCGGACTTGATGACATCTATCTTGTCTGTG